TCATGAACATATATAACGTAAAGGCATTAACCATAACACTATCAGGGAATGGAGAAATAGGTTGTGACATAATATAGTGTAATATTCTCTGGTAATTAAAATTCATGTGTCAGGACTAAATATTTCAACATAATCAAAAAATAAATTACATAAGAATGCCAATTGTAAATGACATGTACTGTCTGTTTCCTTTTACATAAAACATTTAAATGCAAAATAATGCAATTGTTTATGGAATTATAATACTTATAATGAAAATTGCAGGAAAATAACATATTTGAAGTTCATATAGTGGTTCCCCAGGGAAAGAAAAAGAATCAAGATTGCGCAAATACATGATGTGGTGGCTTCACATATACCTGTATTATTTGTTGCAATAAAAACATCTAGAATAAGGACAGTGAAGTATATGAATTTGTTACTGCTGGCCAGTGAGAAGTCCAGGCCATCATTGTCATCTTTGTATTTTCTTTCACCTAAGTAATCCAGAATATTACCAGAGAGATTTTAATATATATTTTAAATTTTTTTATGCTGTAGACTTTTAGTTATCCAAAATTTTAATAGCTTTTTATTATTTGTATTGACTCATATGATTCATTTTATTATTTAATGCATTTGAATTACTATATATTTCATCATATGTCCATGTCAAATAAATAGTAAGTTATTAATATTCCCTTTCATTCTTTTTCACACGATAAAAGTTCTCAGCTAAAGTTTCGGCTTATAAACTCATTCCTGAAATTTACACTTATTATGCTAGGCATACACTCTCTTCCTATTGTCTTTCCTCAACTTATCCACCCCTTTGCTTTGTTTCCGAGCAAGGAAATATTCCAGATGCCATTGCTCATGGACAAAAAAACACAAACAAGAAATGTCAGCACAAGAGTCTCACATACTGAGTGCTGTGCTGGCTGTTTTCTATTCATTACTCATCGCTGCAACGTCCCCATAAAGTTATTATGCTAAGGAGGGTACTGAGGCTTCTCATACAGTTGAACAACTTTTCCCAATCACAAAGCAAGTGCTGATTTGGATCATATTTAGAGTGTTTGGGTCTAAGTAATACATCAAATGATAAAGTCTGTCATAACTAATTCTATCTCCCCCTGGAGAGAGAGGAACACTGATTTACAAAGGCAATTTTTAAGAATCCTGATTATCTTTTAAATATGGTATAAATCTGCATTGTCTTGTAAGTCTCTGTCTTCAAGGACCAAAACTTGTTGCTATTTTTATCTGTTTTCTTACAAACTTCGGGTTTCATTCTTTCTCTCATTTAGCTGTTTTTTTTTTTGTTGTTGTTGTTGTTTTTAATGTTATACCACTTATCACCTTAGGAGAAAAAAAGTCCCCTTGGGATGAAATAGAGAATGTCATCTTCACAGTTGTCCAGTTTCTCTGGGAATGAAGCTCTAATCCAGATGAGTAGTGTTTCCATGGAGAAAGCTTATGAGCTTCAAGTTTATAGACATTTTTAAAATCTATGCTCCGGTATAGAGTGTATACCTGAGTGGATGCCATGACCTGCTACACATTACTTTATGGATAGAGATGGACATACCTTGTAGGTAAGGGGAAAGATTTAGAGCATTGTTCAAAATAAATATATTAAATTTTTTAAGGGAGACTATGAAATCTGAGTGATGGTTTAGGAATGCTAATTCCATACTATCCAGAGGCACTAACAAGTTGGTCAAATAGCCAACTCAGCAGTCAGTTAACATGTACTCAGACCTTGTCTTTTCTACCCACCGTATACCATGTGTTCATAACATACTGTCACTTTATCTAAGCGTTCTAGTGGGTAAATGGGTGATAATATGATCTAAGTCATCTGTAATTTAACAAACT